TGTAATATATTGTAAAAAAAAAAAAGTGTCAGTATTTGTTGTATTTTTTGTTTGATTAGTTTGTTTGATTATGAATGATTGGTATAAATAAAGATAAAATACATATGTGGGCAGGTATAGGACCAGCATGCAATGGGGTGAGCCTGTCATATATATATATATATATATATATATATGTATTTTTTAACCAGAGCAGAGTAGAAGGAGCAGCAGGAAGTGCAAACATTTGTTTTGTTGCTTGGTAAAATGGATTCAACCATGAAAGGAAATCATTTGGTTTGGACTTCGTTTTTTGCCTGCGTTGAAAAACATCCTCGCTGCAGCAGTGGTCTTTAAGTTTTTTTTATAGTTTGAGCTTGAAAGAGGGCAGCAGGGTGGTTCACTTGGTAGATCTGTTGCCTCTCAGCGAGAAGGTCGCAGGTTAGAATCCCGGCCAGGGGCCTTTCTGGGTGGAGTTTGCGTGTTCTGCCTGTACATGCGTGAGTTTCCGCCCACAGACCAAAAACATGCATGTTAGGCTGATTGGTAACTCTAAATGGTCCCTAGGCATGAGTGAGAGAGTGAATGGTTGTTTGTCTCGTTTGTCTTTGTCTGTCCCTGTGATGGACTGGAGACCTGTCCACACTGTGACTACTGAATATGGGCACCAGTGACCCCCCCATAAAAGCAGAAGTGGGTAAAGATGATGGATTGATGGTAGGATGGATGGATAGATGGATGATGGGTTGATTGATAGATGGATGGATGGATGGATGGATGGATGGATGGATGGATGGATGGATGGATGGATGGATGGATGGATGGATGGATGGATGGATGGATGGATGGATGGATGGAGTTTAGATGCTGAACTATCCTGCTTATATGATCCAGAATTCTATTCAACAGAAATAATTTGACGCATCATGAAACAAAAGATCCAGCAAAGGCCCAGAACTTCTGAGCAAAAACTGGTCTCCTCAGAGACTTCCAGACTGTTGTTAAATTAATAAACATGGTTCTGTCCTAAACTTTTTATATGTGTGGATATACCATCAAATCCAACACTGCTGCTTATGAATGGTACAATTTTTATGTTGCCATCTAGCAAAGTAACGTCAGGTCCTCTGGACGAATTCTGCTTGTTAACATATCATCTTTAATCCAAAAGACTTCTTCATCTTCTTTTGGATAAAAGAGGAAATGTTTCAACAAGAAGAATCCGTCCAGAGGACCTGACTTTACTTTGGTAGTTTTTCTGCCTGGATTATTGAGCATGCATTAGGACATGTTAACAGTTTTCCACTGTGGATGAATTATGATTTGATGAGATTAAAAAAATCACAACATTTTGTTCTGTTTGCATTTTGCTCCACATCCCAACTTTGTTGGAAACAAACTGGAGGACAGATCACAAAGAAAGGCAGAACCAGACGTCGTGTGAAGGCTTCATGTGTCGGATACATGACACTGAAGGTGACATCAGGCAGATGTGGGAGTTTTTCTCCAGGGACACAGCAGTATATTTAAACCTGTGGCTCTGATTCATGCACCATTAAAGATGCTCCTGTCCAACATGACAGCCTCTGCAAGATGGGTGCCCCTCTCAGTGGACTTCAGCAGCCCGGAGGACTACTTCATCTTTATCTTTCAGGTTTTATTTGCCACAACCACAGTTCTTGTAGCAGGGACGGTGGTGATCAGCATCTGCTCCAGCGGGGCTCTCCGCCTGCAGAACAGGTTCATCTTCATGCTCAACACCAGCATCTGCGACACCCTGACCGGCTGCTCCGTCTTCTACCTGGGTCTGTTCGACGTCCAGGAAGGGTACCCGTCCAGGAACGGGACGTACAACGTGCTGCCCTCTCTGTTAGGGGTCAACATATTGACCTTTATGTTTGCTCAGTTTGACAGGTATTTCGCAGTGTGCCATCCTTTTGTTTACAGCCGGTTCATCAGCAGAAGGTTTGTCATCAGCATCAACATCTTCTGTTGGCTGTATAACTTCGCCCACGTGCTGGCCCGGAACCTGCTGCCGGTGTCCAAGTCCATCCAGCTGTACGTCTTCAGCATCGTCTTCCTGCAGGTGGTGGTGCTCACCAAGGTGGTGATGACTATCAAACTGTACGTGGTGGCCCGGTACCAGCTGGGGAGGGAGCCGGCCGGCCGGGACAGAGACAGCAAGAGAGAGTCTCTGAGGATCATCATCTTCGTCGTCCTGAGCTTCCTGCTCCTGTGGAGCCCGTCCTTCATCAACATCATCATCAGGTTTGTGGTGGGAGGCGGCCTGAGTTTCAGGAACGAGGCCACCAACCTGTTCGCCATTTTGGCCCGTTTTAACGCCGTGTGCACCCCGTCCATGTACCTGTGGGGGAGTCCGGCCCTGAGGGGGGCCGCGGCGCGCACCCTGTGGGGCCGAGCGTGTCCGAGCTGCAGGAGCAGGTAAAAAAAAAGAAAGAATGTGAGTTTTTGTGTTTGTTGCTGAGTAAAGTGCCCTCTTGTCCCTCAGAGCTGGCTCCTGTCCAAAGTCTGTGAGGCACTGAGACCAGTGGACCCGGTCTGGACTTCATCTGGGTCACCTAATGCTGTATTAAGACCTGACAGTATCACGAAGATTTCTTTATTCAATTTGTTCTTGTCTTTCATCATGTGTGCCCTCTGTGCACCTGCAGCTAAATGAAAACACTCAAATCAAAATTTATTATATATATTTATTGTATATTTGTTTCCATAAAATGTGTTTAATTTTTATAAAACTTGGTAGAGATTAAAAGCAAAAACTAAAAGTCATTTTAATAGAAAAAGTCAAACGATTAGTGCATGTCATAATGTGCAAGATGTGAAATTACTGTGGAAAATTATTATTATTATTATTATTAAAAGTGACTATTTTCCAAATAAAGATGAATCTGTTCATATTTATTTGCTGCTCCAAACCAGCTTTAGTTCTTTTTAAAATATTCAAAGTTCCAGAGAAGAACAAATAAACTGAGTGCAATTTTTTATGACAATAGTAATAATAAAAATAAATCTAAAATGCTGTTTTCTGCAGATGTAAATATAT